CCTGTTCAGCCTTTATTGATAAGATTCAGGTTTTACTGAACTGATTCAGGTTTTAAAATGTTTGTTTTTTCCCAACTGCAGAAGCCCTGCTATTGACCTGTTACCTTATAGCTAATATTTGTGCAGCTGATTTCTTCTAGCACCCTGTGAGGTTGCAGGGAGATTACTTCCAAATGCTTTTCAAACCCAGTGTTATGCTAGGGCCGTACAGTGAATCTCTCTGGAATTAGGACGATGGGAAGTAGGGCTGCATTAACAGGACTGTTTCCCTTTTTTTCTGTACAAACATTCAGTTAAAACAAAAGAGCATCTGTCTTAATAAATATGTACTCTTCAGCTTCCAGTGGAGTCCCTCTCCAGAACCCTGGCTACGGCTATACACCTGTGCCTGGAGGGTATGCACCCACCCCGCCTGCTCCAGGGGGTTATTTGCCTGCACCTGGGGGCTATGCTCCTCCACCAGCAAATGGACCGTATCCTTACATGCCACCACCAGTGAACGCCTATGGACCAGCTCCACAGCCCATGGGATATCCATATGCTCAGCCTCCAGGTAATGGAAGCTGTATAGTGATTAGTGGCAGGGTGTGTTTGGTGTTAGCTATAAAGAAATCGTGACAGCACACTGAGGGTTAGTGTAGTTTTGTCTCCTTTTCATACAAGGATCCTTGTCCTTGTAAAACTTACTGTATGTTCTTGATCATACCAGCGCGTCTCCAGAGTTGCAGCTGGACAGGAGGTGAAAACGCAGCGTCTAAATTGTGCTCCTGCATGGCAGGGAATCGCTACCTGCTGGCATGACAGGCATTAGCCAAATGTAACGTTTCTGCTACTTCCACCTCATGCCAGGAGAGCTTCCCTCACCTGTGCTGGTGTCCAGGGCTGCTGTACTGCTAAGCCTGTGAGCTCCCCTCCCCTTTAGATGCAGCAACCTAAAGCATCAATCTGATGTCATCTTTTTTACAGGTATTTACCCACCACTTCCGAACATGAACCCTGTGTATGTGCCACCTCCTCCCCCATACTCTGGGCCTTCTCCTGCAGGACCTTCGGCCCCCTCAGCTCCCACAGCCTGGGTGGACCCAGGGATGCCAGGTAAAATGGGACGGGGGGCTGCCAGGACTCAGGCGCAGAAGGGTACTGGGGGGCTTGAGCTCCAGGTGGTGCTGGCAGAGGTGGAAGCTGTTGCTGCAGGAGCTCTAAGTCATCTCGGTCTGCAATTTGAGACAATAGAGGGCTGGAGAAGCTGCTCAGCTCTGCACTGCACTGTACAGCTTGTGGTCAGCTCTAGCCAGCTTGCAACTTTCCTGAACTGCTCCAAATTCAAACCCAGTTTGCTGTGGTTGCTGCTGCTCTTTGGATGTTTGTCAGCTCCCCAAAAGAGCAGTAGGTGGGGAGACGGCTCTGGGGCTGGGGTCACAGCGAAAGCTGCTTAAGATGGGTATGTCCTACGCTCACTCCCTCTCCTTCCTCTCTAGGTGGCGGTAAGGCCACGGAAGCTACTTCCAGTGCGTATTACAACCCTGCCAATCCGCACAACGTGTACATGCCTATGGTGAGCACTGCCCCCACAGTGGGGCTCTGCGCTTTCGGGAGGGAAGCTGGGGAGGAGTCATGAGAAGCACAGTGTTGCTAGGCACTTGCTAAGCCAAATTCTGGACAGTCAGCCCTTTGGCTGTGGGAATCAGACTGTGACATATGTCACGCAGAGTGAAATCTGGTGGCCTGCTTCCTACCTCACGGTAATTACTGCTCACCTAGTCCATGCACAGAAAGCATGCGTTTTCCTGGGGGGAGGTGGGGATGGTAGTGCCACAAAGATCCTGGAGCATAACTAGAGAGGAATTGTGGGATGAAATGACAGCCTAAGGTATAGCATCCAGTTCTGGCTGTAAGTCACCGAGGAGCAGTGATTTGCCATAAACCAAGCGTGGGAATGTTAGGAAGAGGTACTCGTAAAACAGGCAGAATGGTTGACTCTCTCGTTTCCCTTCCAGGATCAGCCACCTCCTTATACACCTCCCGAGGATAAAAAGAACAACTAACAGAACCAGCCTCCCACGCTCTCGCTCCCTGAAGACAATTTGGCTGTCACTACCCCTTGGGTTAGCATATCTCTAGGTATCTTTGTGTATATGCAATGTATGTAGTGTTGGACCGCTGAGCACCTGCCCTCCTTAAACATTCAGTCAGTGGTAATACAAGGCAGAGCAGCAGCACTTTCCTGCTTATTTGCTTCATCTCATGGGGTCAAAGCACTAACCTTTTGCTCTGCCCTTGGCTTGAGGGCAGAGATGGATTTCTTCTTAAACGAGCCAACCACATCACTAATCTAGGAGTAAAATACGAAGGCTTTGGGATCTTGGAGTAGAACTACTTGGAGTGGCAACCTTTTGACTTCTTCAAGCACCAGCCAAGAGGAAAGGTGTAGGCAGCCATGAAGTTCCTCGCATAGATCCTTGGGAGACCCAGAAAGCTGTTAAATTTCCTTAAATTCTGGCACAGTTCAGTGTGAGATGTGAGTCTGGAAATCCTGTGTTGTGCTGGAAGCATGTGTTTCATGTCCTGGACTGATAGTCATGGGGTGACAAACTCGAGAAACGCATCCTGAGAGTCACTTAATCATTTGGTAGTGTAAGTGGGAAGGAGATGGGCCCCAATGCACAGAGGCCAAACCCAACAGCTCAGCCGTAGGCACTACAAAGCGCTCTGGATAGATCATCCTACTGCGTTCCTGACGGCAAGAGGAGCTTCTGGGCACACACATGCCTGCTTTGAACGCAGCAAAACCCTCTGCTAGTATTTCTCCATCTCTTTTCTTCGTTCACCTCGCAAAACGGGGTGAAATGCTGCACTCACTGGTGTCTGGAGAGCCAGCACTGACTGTTGTCTCTGCTCCTTCCCCTCTGTTGTGAGATGCACCTCTGTATTTCCAGTGAATCTTCGAGGACGTGATGAGTTTGCCGGCAGGTCTCTTGCATGCCACAAAGCCAGGCTGTATAGTCACCTGACGCTGACAGCAGAGGAGCTGTGTAAGAAATGTAACTGGAAACAAGCAGTGACTTCCTAAAATCAGCCTCCCTTTTTAGCTGTAGACGAGAAAAGCAGACAGGAAGTGGGGCTGCAGGGCTGTGAGCTAATAGCTTGGCAGGTGTGGGTATCAGTCTTCCTTTTGGTCTTCTATGATCAGGTCCTGAGTCTGTGCAATGATCCTGTGTCAAGTAGCTGTTCTTCAAGCGTAACAGAGCCAAGTGCTGAGCTGGAGGCTGCTTGCCTTGGAGCAAAATATGTTACTCTAGGAAGATAACCTGGCACTAGCCTTGTCAGGAGACAGGTCCAGCAGCCCTGGCTCCCTCTGCTGAGCAAGTTCATGCAGGGTGCAAGCCTGACAAGGGAAAATTGGGCTTCATCTCTCTTGCTTGGGCTGCTAAAGCCATGCTGTGTATGCCTGAGCAGCGTGGGAAGAGCAGGCTCTAATACTGGGCTTTGGTTGCTTAGGGGTGCAGCGCCCTCTGAACTGGGAACTACTCTCTCTGGTGTGGATGTTACTAATGCTCAGCTCTGTTGCAGGGAATGCGGCTGCTCAGCCGCAACCTTTCCTTCTTAGGAGACGCTGCCATTAAACCTGCTCTGAAGAGAGTGTCACTATGTATGATGGAGACCAGTGTGGCCCTTCATATATGGGATGATCATACTTCCCTGCGGTCTTCCTACCTTCTCGGTGAAGGAGAAGGAGCGTTTTCTCTCTCACTTCCCTGTGTGCCAGGGCTCTCCTTTAAGTGAGGCTTGCACAACATGTAAGAGTGAATTCTTGAAGCAGCCTGGCATAGGGGGAAGTAAACTTCCTTTTCTAGAACAACAACAACAAAAAACCTTTTAAATCAGAGTTAGAGATGTTGTGATGATTCTCTGAAACTAAAAAATTCAGCCATGAATGTTTGTAACTTTTGCATTGCACTTTAATACAGAAGTGTTGATACCTTTAGCTGCCTGTTTGCTGTTGTGTGTGTGATAAAAACAGAGGGCTGGAAAAAGTGATGAACACTGCTGGTCTCTCCAGTTGTCTATGAGTCAGTCCTGCTCTCTTCCCTGTGCGCTGCTGAGCTGGGTCTGGAATCGGAGAATTGTGGGGAAAGACAGTGGGGCAGAAGCACTGAGTTTGGCTAATTGTCTTACTGCCTGTAGAGGGTGGAAGGGTGGTTTCTGCCTTTGCTCCTGTAACCGATACCCGGAACTGGCACAGTCCGTGTCCTCAGGGAGGTGACACTGTGTTTAACCACCCTGCCCCTTACTAAGGCTGTATTTTTAGCAGCTCTCCTATGAATATTTACTGCAAGCATGTCTTTAAGAGGAACTCCTAGCTAGCCAGTTAATACAGCTTCCCCCCCCCACCACCAATGTGGGATAAATATATATACTTTAAAGAAAAAAAATCACACTTCACTGCTGACTGTATAATCTTGAATTTCCCCTTGTGCCGGTGAGAGCTGGTGCCCTACCAAGCACAATGTAACTACTAGAAAACTGTCTCCTATTCTGCATCAGTTGCTGACAGGAAACCAGTTCTACCTCCTTGTGTAGTTCTTCCTCTTTGGAGGTACTGACCCTGAAATCCAGCATTAACCAAGCAGCTAGCAATGCTGAATAAATCTGAAAGAGACAGTCTGAGACCTGCTTCCCTTTTATTTAAATTTTCTAAATCACTTAGCAAGAACAAAGCCAGCTCCTCTCCATGGACATGAAGTTGTTTGTTTTTTTTTTTTTTCCTCTCTTGTATTGGCACTGCAAAGCATCATGTTCAGTATCTTGCTGCTACACTTGGAGAAAGTGTCTGTGAGTGGCTAGAGTCAGCCATTTGGTCCTCCAAGAACTGGAGTGTGCTCCCAACCCTCCTTTGTCAGCTGGAGTGAATTGAAAGGAGAAACTTTTTTTTTTTTTGTTTTTGTTAAATCTTAATGCGGCACTTCCCCAATCTGAGGCTTATTCTTGTATTCAGTCTCCTTCAGTTGCCCTGTGGTTCAAGGGGGGGATTTTAACAAATGCTGCACCCCTCTCCTGGGTCAGGTGTGGTCAGTAGGTCATGTCTCACCTAAATTTGGATAACTGTTCTGCCTGCGCTTGCCTTTAGCTGGTTCTCCTAAAGTTGCTCTGACCCAGGGGTAGGAGAAGCAGCGAGTGTTCCCGCAACACAGTGCATTAGCTGGCTCGTGTGTGGGCTCCTGGGCACTAAGACAACACATTGAAGTACATGAGATCAGGTGAGATAAACCTCTCCTGCATCCTGAGAAGATTTTTAAGCAATATCGTCTTTAGTGCATCCCTGTGTTTACAACAGCCAAGGAAGGGCAAGCATCAGCGTTGCTTGTTTCCAGCAACAAAGGCCAGAGCGAGCGTAGCATCTGCCACGTTCTTCTTTTCTGCCTCCAGGATAGGAAACAGCCCATTGGTAAAGCCTCCCCAATGTTTTGAGACGTTCCTCACCCCACCTCATCTTCTACTCAGTTATTTGCCACAGCTTTTTTCCATATGGGGAACAGCAGGAACTGGTGCCTGGGAGGGATGGCAGTTTTCTTCCTTGTTTTTGGTCCCACTATGACTAACAGCTGTGGTAGCAGTTGCAGATACTCAGCCTCTGCTGTAGGACTGTCAGGCACAGCCAAAGTACCAAAATGAATCAGAGCTCATTCCACAACTCACTCCAAGCCCTTCCAGGGTGTGAGTGCCAGCTCCTTCAAGTGATGGAGCTGTGTATGTAGCTGCCCTTTGGAGAAAGAGGAGCCTTTCCCTGAGAAACCCTGGAGTGTTCAGACTGCTAGAAGA